ATCAGAGTACATATGCACTACAAAGAAAATATCATTAGAAACAATAAGGAAGCCATTTTACCAAACAGCAAGTAAGAATGAAAACAGAAAGTGAAAATGGTTACTATAGAAAATGGTCATAAGGATAACAGGGGACCAGTCTATAATGGCAGTCATCAGAGGGCTAGCTACTTTAAACAAAATTATGTCTACATTCATATCCTAGTATTCAATATAGTACTGAAAAGAGATACTTACTATTTGTTTTATAATACTTAGTTAAACTGATTTTTCAAATTTGGATCCAAATTATACTTAACCATATCAAACTTCATCTCCAAAAGACAATCCAAGCAATTTAAAGTGTGTTTAAATAAATATACCTTAGTGATCTTCAAAAGCAGTTTTTGGAAATTTGTTTATCTGGTGGTGGAGGAGGGGAAACCCAGGACCCTGTACATGCTAAACAAGCATTCTAGCAGTGTGACAGGACCCCAGCCAAAACAGAATCTTGAAAGTGCTTGACAGCAGAGACATCACTGAATGAGGCACCTGAGCGCCACAGACCCTGCATAGGAAGGAATGTCTACTTCAAAGTATGTGATTTCTGGAATACCAATTAAAATACTGGAGCACTTGACAAGTCTTCCACACTCTGTCAATGTCTTGGTAATTAAGATATTGTTTTGGACCAAGTTTGGCTATGCTGAACATTAAGCTCTAAGAAGTCACTGACAGCAGTTGAGGGAAATGTACTAGCTACACACCAGAGCAAACATTACCATTATCTTAAGACAATCATGTTGGTTAAAAATAGATTTACTGCTGGGCGGTGGTGGTGCACGCTTTTAATCCCAGCACTTGGGAGGTAGAGGCAGGCGGATCTCTGTGAGTTCGAGGCCAGGCTGGACTGACAGCCTCCAAAACAATACAGAGAAACCCTGTCTCGTAAATACCAAAAAAAAAAAAAAAAAAAAAAAAGATTTACTGCACTGTGTCACTCTTAGCAGCATTTATCACTTAAAATTCATCTCTAACAACAACTGTCCTTTGGGGCTAATCTATATTGCATTTACACTTGTTCAATGTTCAATTTAAATTTACTATAAGTTAGTGATCATAAATACTATTAAATGTCACTAAGGAAAGATGCAATCCATCTCTACAGAATATTCTATTACAGACACCAGAAAAATGAAAACTAGCCAAGAGAAATAGAAACCAAAGAAAGACATAGAAGAAATATGAGAATAAATGAGTAGAATATGATATGTTGTTAACTACCAATGTGACTTTAGACACTTTCATTTTCATAAAGTTCTAGGGTGTCTATTAGAAATCATAAAAAATTCACCAGGCTTCATTTGCCTGCAATTCTAGCCCTTGGATGGTCACAAGTCTGAAACCAGCCTAGGCTACAGGGTAAGACTGTCTTGAAAAACCAAAGTGGGGAGAGAGGCTTGAAGTCATCTGGCATTACTTTATGATTTCCTGAAATGACTATAATAAGAAGAACAATAAGGATGCTCCCTTTGCAATCTTAAAGAAAATCAGGTAAGATGTTTAATCATGTATGAGCTTTTAAGAAGAAGCCTCTTTGTGTTCTTCCTTTTCAATCACAATGACTGTGTTATAAATCTAATGCTAGCATATATTGATATATTTCCAAAAAAACCATGATTTGGGAAAGACAGGGTATTACTATGTAGCTTGGGTTCGCCTGGTATTTATAGTCTTCCTATCTTAATGCTAACATGACAGGAGTGCCAATGTCCCATGAGAGTACTATTGACTTGAGGACCAAACACTGTTTATTATCTTTCCTTTTCCTCTATAGGAATATTAAATTATTTTAGTAATTAGCCTACAAATTTTATTGGGGTATGATGAAATTCTAATTGTTCAACTTTCTAGACAAACTAATTCTTTTTCTTTACACACTTTTTTAAAAAGTGTGTGTGTGTGTGTTCAAGAGCAGGTTGATCTACTGAGATATGTTAATTGGATAAAACTTATTAAAAGTCTGTTAAGTTAAAAATTCATTGAAACGGGAGGGTAAGTTCTCTTACTGTCCTCTTTTAGTTGTGTTTCATGACTATCTTTATTCACTCCCTATTTCCTCTTGATTTAACTAATTCTATCTATCCAAAATTGAAATGTCATTTGAGTTTTTTCAAAAAGGGCATCTCTTTTGCTTTTATTGACTATTCAAAAAGAAAATCTACAGCGTACTCTAGATTAATATTTGCATGCCAAAACTATAATGCCTTACAAACATTTCATTCCTGAAATTAGTCTCAGTCTCTACTGTTAATGAAGCAACATGTTTAGAAAAGGCAACTTGTCCAAAGTTACAATCTTACTGAGGTAGAATCAAGAGTTAAATGTTCACTTGCCTGCCTCACAGTTATACACACTAAAGATTCTATCCTCCAAATAGTGTAGTTAAAACAGCAGACTTTCATTTTGTCTGGAAGTCATATTTTTACCTTATTTCCTATCTACACATACTCCTATGCTCCATATTCACACATATATAGCAACTTTTTATCAGCATATATTTCATCTATTTCAAATTATGTTACGAGGCATAAGTGGGAATACAACCAGAATATAACAGGATATAAAAAAACTAAAAAAAATTATTAAATAAAATCTGTAATGGATCAGAAAATGATACTCCAAAACATGCAGCTTCAGACTTAAATGACAGCCCCTGACAAGCACCAAATGAGTGCTAGGATTAAAAGAGTATGTCACCATGTCAGAATGTGTGTTTATTTTAGAACACTCAATCACTGAACATCCCAAAGGGAAAGAAAAGATTATTTGCCCCTACATGAAGTGCATATATCAACAAGTGTATTCAGTACAAATCATGTATTCTTGACATCTGTCCTAATCTGTTGTATTGCTGTGAAGAAACACCATGACCAAGATAACTCTTATAAAAGAAAGCATTTAAATGGGGATTCGCTTATAGTTTCAGAGGTTTAGTCCATTATCATTATGGCAGAAAGCAGCCAGGCACAGTGCTGGAATGGCAGATGAGAGCTATTTCCTGATCCACAGGGAGACAGACAGACAGACACACACACACACGAACAACATAACAGACTGGACCTAGCATGGGCTTCTGAAACCTCAAAGTCCACCCCCAGTGACACACTTCCTTCGACAAAGCCACACCCCCTAATCCTTCCAAATAGTACCACTCCCTGGTAACTAAGCATTCAAAATATGAGCCTATGGGAGTCATTCTTGTTCTAACCACCACAACATCAGGGCCCCCTTATTCTTTACAATTACAACTTATTTTTCTTATTTTATATATAACACTGAAAGTTCAATTTTATAAACTCACCATTCTACGAAGTGAAAGTTTGAAAAAACTAACACTGCTACATACATGAACAACTGTAATGTAGAGTGACAAAAGAAATGAAGCAAACATACCTAGTTAAAGGCACCATAGAATTGTCTTTTCCCCATCCCAAAACAAAAAGTGCTACTCATAATGATGGAATGGTTAAGGAGAAAATATTAGGGGGGGGAAAAGCTATAGTTAACTGAATTCCTAAGGGCTACAAATCCATACCTTACCAGTGGTTATATCTTCTATTGTCCTTAGTGTTAATTCTGGAAAGATGGTAAAAGGTTAAACCCATGAGATTTGGCATGAGAAACAATAAACATGTTTGAATGCCATTCTTCTCTCTCAATACAAAAGTGACCTTTTGAGCAAGTTATTCACTTCCTTGTTTTTTTCAGCAGTCACCTAAGCATGCTAATACAAAATTCCTAGGCACACACAAGACCAAACAAGTAATCCTTCCCTCAGTTCCCAATACATAGCATGATTTGTTTCTGTATTTCCCCTAATCACTGCCACTGTCTTGTATATCAAGTAACTAAAATAATGCCAATTAAAACATAACCAATATTCACCAAATACTCAATGGCCAACTGGTCTGAAACAAAAGGAAAAAGGGTAAGTGTGGTAATATTTTATGATCTAACAAATAAAGCTTGCCTGAAGATCTGAGTGCAAAACTAGTCAAACTAGTTATTCACAGAGGCCAGGCAGTGGTGGTGCACACCTTTAATCCCAGCATTCAGGAGACAGAGGCAGACAGATCTCTGTTAGTTCAAGGCCATTCTGAGCTACATAAAATTGACCCAGTCTAAAAGAGAAACAGCTCACACACAAGTGTTCCCAGTACTTGGAGAGGCATGCCTTTAATCCCAGGACTAAGGAAGAGGAGACAGGAAGGGATATGGCTGGGCAGAGAGAGGAATATAAGGTGGGAGGAGACAGGAGCTCACTGAAGTCTGAGCAGCAGTTAGTCTGAGACAGCAATCTGACGTAGGCCATCTGAGGAAGCAGTCTGAGGAACAGTGAAGTCTAAGGCAGTCCGAGGATGCAGTCTGAGACAGTTGAGTACAGGATCACCCCTTTGGTCTGAGCATTGGTAGAGGTAAGAACTCTAGTGACTGGCTGCTCTGTTTCTCTGATCTTTCAGCTTTCACACCCTAATAGGGGACTCTTGTGTTTTTATTATTAAGACCAATTAGAATTCATGCTACCAACCAGACTACAGCTATCACATTTTATGTGTAAATAAGTAAATTAATTAAGGAATTGTTTTAAAGGAAAGAACTAAAGTTATTTACCAGAAATTAATTAGTTCTAGTTCATTTAATGTAAAGCTTTATGAGCAAGCATAAGATGCTGAACAAAGAAATAAACTACGAACAGCCTATACAATGGAAGAATTTCCCAACAATGATGGCAGACTCCTGATTTATGTGCCAGCTGAGTGTGGGAGCACATACTAGTAATCCTAACCCCTGGGAGAAAGTGGCATTGAATCAGAATTTTTTTAATTTTTATTTTATTTTTTATATATTTTTTATTTAACTTTTTACGCATATCACTTTCAGTTCCGTCTCCCTTCTCCCCCACCCCCTGAATCAGGATTTTTATCCTGAGCATGGGAGCATATACGCAATCGTAGCACCTGGGAGAAGGCAAGAGGATCCAGAGTTCTACAACAGACGTGGTCTCAACCAATCCATCAATCCATTCATCAACGAATGTCTCCTAAGTATAAAAATAAACATTAGATGCTGGGCATATCACTGTATGTCTACAATTTCACCTACACAAGATACCGGAGCAGGAAGATTATAAGTTCAAAGCCAGTTTGGGAAACATAACAAGGGATATCTTGTTTCAAAATTCAAGAATTTTAAAAAGAAATGGAAGACTAGAGGAATGGCTCATTAGATAATAGCATTACTGCTTATCCAGAGGACCTAAATTCGAATCCTAACGTCCCCTTTCAGATGATTTACCTTTAACTCTAAGGAAGCCAACACTTCTAATTTATGCAGGTACCTGGGCTCACATGTGTACACACAATTAAAAATAATAAAACATTTAAAAAGTTGATACAGACCCCCCAGTGCTGGTAGATGCATAGAAAACCCAAGAGACTCAGAAGAACAGTATGTATAGTAATTCAAAACTCCTCTATGTTGTTTCCAAGCACAGAAAAAAAAAAAAGGGTTCCTCTCATCCTGCTGACATTCCAGAACACAGTTACCAGTTTCACTCCAAAGGACTGAGAATGCCTGGATCCTGCACAGTATAAGTTATATAAGGAAATAACATTAAAGAACCACGGAAACCTCAACCCACAGGTGAGGAACACTAACTACAGGACTTTGGATGTACTACCAACATTGGCCCCTTTTCTTTGAAGAAAATCAGATGGGAGCCTCTGCTTTACATGAAGACTTCCAGATTCCTCAAAAAACACAAACACAACAATACAACAAAAAAAATCAAATGGGGGGTGGTGGCAGAGATAATAAAATATTCCTATTTTTCTTTTTTTTTTTCCTTTTCCCCTCTTTCTTTAGGTAATACACTCCCTACCTTTAGATTACTGGTAATTATAGGAATTCTATGGTATAAAATACTATGCCCTGTATCTAAAATCCAATTTGGCCTTAAACTTGTTATATAGCTGAGGCTGGCTTTGAACTTATTCTCCTAATCTGCCTCCCAAGTGCTGGAATTGCAGACATAATCGTAGCTTTGACTTGGTTATTAGCCAGAAGAGGATCTCAAGATAATGCAAGTTGAAAATTCTTTCTCATATGTCTATGTGGACAAATAATGTTCGAGAATGGTATACAATGGCCTCTCTTTTCTACCAAACACAGTACTGGGTAAGACAGATCAGAGATTACTGGGGAAAGGGTCCAAGCTAGTTGTTATGTTTTATTTTCCAATAGGCAGATCTGACTGCCTCAAAGCCATACTTGGTTACCTCTGGATGAAAGGGAAGGGCCCTGAGATGAGCTGAGACAAAGAAACAATGGCCTTGTATCCAAGCAGGCAGAAATAAAGTGGAGGACACAGCAAGGTGCAAGGTCAAGGAGGAAGTCAGACTGTAGCATGAGTACTGTGAAGCTCCACCTGTGGGAATGACTGTTTACAGGTATGGGCTTGCTTCTCCTCTCCCATCAGGACACCTCCTGCCCTGTTCACCATCCTCTGAGTCTTCATTCTTCAGTGAGCTCCTAGCATAGTGACAGTCCTCCCCTTCCAGTGTGGAGGTCTGCATCATCTGACAGCTTTCATTGTTTGGAAGAAGGGGTACCTCTGGAAAATCTATGCCTGGTTTTTAACAAGTTCTGTTTTTCTAGTGTCATTCACATACTCATTGATCTTGTCTCATCAGAGCCCTTTATGAAGAGCTAAATAGTTTTTCTGTGAATTTTTTCTCCCATACACTGACTATCAACTACTCACAATGCTCTTCATGGGTATACAGCCACAGGTAGAAAGTGAAGATACTTAGGAGTAACAGAACCCCTAATGTTCATTCAGGGATTCACAGCTTAATGATTTATCTTTATGTGTTTGTGTGTTTTGCTTGCATGTATGTACATATGCTGTGTGTGTGCCTGGTGCCTGTGTAGGCCATAAAATGGTGTCACACCTCCTAGAACTGGAGTTATAGATGGCTGTGAGCTGCTGTGTGGGTGTGAGGACCTACGCCTGAGTTCTTTGCAAGAGCAACCAGTGCTTTAACCCCTGATCCACCTCTTCTTCCTTGTTTTGGAATTCCTTTTCTGTGTTTTACTCTTCAGATCTAAGCTCCCTCTCATGAGTTCTTAATGGTTTTACCATTTAATGTACATATTTTAACTAGATGGCATTATATAAGTAATGCATACCTTAGAAGACTGAGGAGAAACTAACATGTATGAACATGTATCTACTGTCAGTAAATATGCAAGCTTAAAAAAAAGACCCGGGGTGGGAGGAGTAGGGGTGTAGTGGTGCACTTATTGAATCCCAGCACTCAGCACTTGGGAGGCAGAGGCAGGTGGATCTCTGTGAGTTCCAGGCCAGCTTGGTCTACAAAACAAGTTCCAGGGCAGCCAGAACTACACAGAGAAACCCTGTCTCAAAAAAAAAAAAAAAAAAAAAAACGAAAACAAACAAAAAAAACGAAAAACAAACGCAAAGACTAGGCAATTAGCTCAATAGCAGAATGCCTACCATGTACAAGGTCCTGTGTTCAAGTCCCAATACCACAAAAAATAAACATTAGGTTCATAGATAAAACATACCTTACCCCAATCCAGGCATAAAATACCCCAAGTATACATTTCATGGCAATATATGTGTTTACAACAAAAGCCAGATGTAGGGTACACACCTGTATGCCAACACTTAGGAGACTAAGATAGAAGTCTGCATTTGAAGTTAGCTCCTGTCTCAAAAAAGAAACTATACTTTTTCTCTGTGGTACTTTTATAATGTGAAAACAATTACTGATATATGTGAAAAAAATCCTCACTAATCAAAAACAGAATTAAAATAATAATAAAACTATGAGAAGAAACAATAAAAGCAAAAGGCAAAAGTAACTGTTTTTTACCCAGGCTCTCCATATCCTTTTGTTTCCATCTGAAAATCCAAATCCTTTTTCTTTTTTCAAGTACTTTCTCTCTTTCTGCTAGGGAGAAAACAAGATTCAAACAGCTCACACCAAATTCTCCTATAAGAAAGCAAAACTGCAAAGGGAGGAATAAAGTACATACAGCAACAGCCATTTTAATGCTAAAGTACTCTTAAATTTAATTCATCAAAAATAAGTAAAATTGTATATAAGAATTCCAGATAACATATGAAACTTCTTGAGCATGAGCATCCGCCTGTCTTCCTCTGTGCCACCCTGTGCCATTTAAAAACACCACCAAGAACAGTCTAGTAATAAAACCTCCAGCAGCTCCAATACTCTGCCACTCCATCACCACCCAGTATCACAGGAGCTAACCCTGTATCACAGGAGACAAATGTGATTTGAAAGAACAAAACCACTTCTTACAAGACATATGTGGAATAGTAAGCTTCACAATATCTATTGTCCCCTAGTCACACACAGAAACTACAACATACCTCAATGTTGGAGCTCATATAACCCAAAACATACCCACCACTGAGGTCTCTCCCACTCCCAACTAGCAGGAAGCAGGTGGGGGGGGATGGTACAATGTTAGGGAGGACATCAGGAGCTTATGAGTGGAAAAAAAGCAAGAAAGAAAACAGGGCAATTAAAAGTTTTAATACCCCAGGGATGGACCAAGCACGGAAATAATTAGCACTACTATTTCAAGATGTGATTTTCTAGCTCTATGTAACTGCTGAAAAATATATGCATGCCCACATTTAAAGCAGTTAAATATCCTTTTCTCTGGCAAACTGCTCCTTTTTAAGTAAGTCACTTGGCAATCTCCTTTATTTACAAGCTCCTGTGCCTCTTCACTCTCTATTCATTATGAGAAACACATGAAATTGTACTGGATTCAGAGCAAGATTACTAAAATCTCTGCAAGTGACAATTCAAGTCCTGTTTTGGTACCCTGTAGTACAAGTCATTTCACCAAACGTTATTTACCATTTGATAAGACTAAGCAAAGTCTCTGGAATTAACAATGCAACACTGTGAATTTAAGATAAATGTCCCTTGCATGTATTCATTTATTTATTTTGTGTATTGGGAGTGTGTGTACACGTGCATGCTACAGCACATGTGTGTAGACCAAAGGACAAACTACTGGAGTCAGTTCTCTCATTCTTTCACGTGGGTTCCCAAGATGGAACTCAGGCTTGCTACTGAGCCATCTCACCAGCCCTTCAGGTATTAATTCCAAATCATCTATCTCATTGACAGGTCATATGCTTAAAACCTGAGAACAGGAAATAGTCGTTTCAGTGTAGAAAATAAGAAAAGCACTAGCTACCCCCATTTTAATCTCTTATTTTCAGGTTGCATCTCTTTAGAATTAAGTTTGCTAAACTCACAGAGCCTCTGGAACTTGCACATTACCCCGTCAATAACATACTAATGAAGAGGAAGACCAAATGCACTACACAGTAAACTGGGTTTGGAATGTAAGCAATTACATACTCATTCAAGTGTGCAATTATCTCACAGTATGCTTCAAATCTCTCAATCCAATCCAGCATTACTTTCAAAGGTTAAAAAAGCCCAACCTTAAAATATAATCATTCTTCAACATTTCGGGAAAACACTTGTCACCAACTTTCCCCAATACTATCTTAAATACTGAATGACTTGCTAGCAAGATTTTACTTCTCAACCAGGCATGGTGGCACATGCCTTTAATCACAGCACTCAGGACTCAGGAAGGCAGAGGCAGATGAAATTTCTGTGAGTAGAAGGCCAGCCTGGTCTACAAATCCCGGAAAACCAGAACTGTCATATAAAGAAACCCTATCTCAAACAAACAAACAAACAAACAAACAAACAAACCAAAACAACAACAACAAAAAATTTTGTTTTCAAGTTCGTTTTGATTTTTAAAACTGCCTCAAGCCTGCTGTGGTGGCACAAGCTGACATCAAGAAAACCACTATACATTCAAATTATCCCGTATACTGTTATAAAAAATGGAAGTCATTTAAGGTAAGTCTTTAAAATACAAGTCAATTTGTGTTTAAAGTCTTCTTAAAGTATCTGTTATTATATTCACCTGGCTCTATAAACAGGGTACACTTAAGGTACCAGCAGCAACTTCTCAATGTTCCGTCAGTTTCATTGTCATTAGGTGCATGGCACGGTGCATGAGTCTAAATGGAAGACGCACAAGGACATGAAGAACACGCTCATGTTTGAATTCTTTGTCAACCTATTACATTGAACATACAAATGCTATTTTTAGCTGGTACGCATAAGTATTTCCCATTTACTTTGGCACCTGGATAATTCTATATGCCCTTCAGTATACAGATATAACTTTCAGGGGGCAATTCTGTTTAACTTGGCCATACTAACAAAAAAAAGTACAATGATATCAAAACCCTGGGTGATCCAAAAAGCTTAACAGTTCCCTTTCGATCATTCATATACCAGTGTCCTAATAAACACATTTAGCCAGTCTGCTTTCCTCCACTATTCTGAGAGGGGAAAAGAAGACCATGTAGTCTTCCCAAACTACACATAAAGTAAGTGTTGGGATTATAGCTGTAGCGCTCTCCTATCATCACTTTTAAGTGCAGGTGAGAGTAGACAGAATTAGATGGGATAGAAACACACTATGCTCTTCATAGCCCTGTTTTCTGGAGCTTGAGACCTGGGAGGCAGAGAGCAAGTCACAGCAATGGGTCACCTGACTGTAACACACATTTAAAGAGCTATGCAGCACCACTACTCCAATACGTTATTTACTATGATTTATGGAACTATATCTCACCATGATTTTCACAGGGTTCTGACTGCCTTCTTTTTAACCCTTCAACAGCTGACAATGATCATCTGAGAATCATAGAGATGGAAGGTGAAAGTGCTGTATGCAAAAGGTATATGCATCATAGAGGTAAAATGACTGAAGCCCAGAGGTTAAACAGCCTGACAAAACCAGTCTCACATTCAGAGTAGAACTAAGTTCTACAGACCCCACCTTCAACACTATGGCTTTCAGCCCCTGCAACTGAAAAATTATCATAGATTATACCTTTATTTTCACCTGTTGGCCTCATCGTAAGGCTCCTACACAAGATATGAAGTCTTATCACATTGTCTTGGGATGCTCAAATCTTTAACTCTGCATTTAGGAGATGAACAGTTCAGCAGCAATGAACGTACTTACTTAGCCTGTGTACTCCTACTTAAATCTAATGCATACCTTCTGTGTGTGTGTGCATCCTTCACCATTCTCCCTACACCTTGTATAAAATACTCACATCATAAATTTAGGGTAACAACTACTAGACATCCACCCCAACATTTAGTATAGTACTTCTTCCCTGTAGCTGGTGCCATCAGTCACATGAACGCCTAGCTGAACTGTACAGAAAGAAAAACTCTATTTTATAGCACTATCAATTTGGTTGTCCTATGGGATTGAAAGTGTCAAAGCATTGTTTTACTCTATTCTCTGTAATTATACACTATCCTTTTTGCTCATTTCCTTCTCCATTCTTCAACTCAAACACCACTTCTGGGGCTGGCAACAAGCTCAATGATAAGGGTTTTTTGCTAGCATATGCAAGGTCCTTCAGTTCTATGCCTTAACCTTTAAAAAATTAAGATTTTTATTGATAGAGTATTGGGAGTGCATTCCTAGGTAAAGGAAGCTACAGTAATTATAAAGTTGCATGCCACATTTAAGCAACAGCATTCTTCTGACTCAAGCAAGTGCTCTCAAATAGGGACATAGTTTCCAAGGAGAAAGAACAGGAATGGAGGGAGAGTCGGTACTTTAGACCAGTCAACTAACCCTTATTTCCCTTGAGAAGTGTTCTGTATATGAAGGACTGTGCTACACACATGAGCTCTGCAAACAGGCAGATATACCTTGACTACTACAGCTGTAGAAGCACAGAAGAAAATACATAAATAAATTATAAAGGGCTTTGGATGCCAAGCTAAGAAATTTGAACTTTATTAAAAGTAAACCTTGTTTTGCTTGTATTTATTTTTAAATGAACGACAAAATCAAATCTGGATTTATAAGAAAATGATTCTGACTGTAGTACAGCAGCAAAATAAAACAAAAAAGTCTTTTTGTTGTTCAACAGGGAACAGACTATCAAATAGGTATTTCAAAGGCAAAAAGAGTAGTTTACCAACAGGACTAAATGGATGAAGAGCTGGTCTATAGTTTAAACAGATGCTGCTAGTTCCTAAATATCAGAAAGTAGGTATACTTTTGGGTGCATAGTTTTACACATTCTAACTTTAAAATGATTACTAGACACTTAGCACTCTCACTGGCCCTATGACACTGGTTGAATGAAGTACATAAGTCTCACTGCTTTACAATTTCAAAGCTTTTATTCTTTGAATTACAATGAACATTACAAACAGTTGGTGAAAAGTGAGATAATTTAGTACCTGACACAACACTGTTAATACAGTAGTCACAGAAAAAGCAGAATGCAGAATTTCAAATGCCAGTAAGTTTTACTAGAGGCCATTCTCATCTATTAAGAAAGCATCTTCCCTATAGGGGAGAGCCAAGGTAATGAAAACACTATGGAATAAAGATAAACTAATCTGCCTAAAGTCTTTCCAATCTTCATCTCTTTCTATCTTCAGTTTCAGTCCATGCCCACTCTAGTAACCTACCCATATGAAGGTACAGCAAATGTTTGCTAAGCATGTAGAAACTGAGTTGACAGGAAGGAAGAATTCAGGGTGCAGGTCTGTCAGGCTCCTCCTCCTCTTCTTTTTTTTTTTTAATTTTCAAGACAGGGTTTCTCTGTGCAACAGCCCTAGCTATCCTGAAACTAGCTCTGTAGACCAGGCTGGCCTCAAACTCACAAGAGATCCACCTGCCTCTGCCTTCCGAGTGCTGGGATTAAAGGCATGTGCCACCAACGCTCTTTTTTTGTTGTTGTTATTGTTTGTTTGGTTGGTTTTTTTTTAAGCCCACTTTTTACTTGTTAGAACTCCTATCTTCCCCCATTTTGGAGACTCTTGTGTATCCCCGCCTGGGCTGGTACTGACTAACCTTGAACTTGGAGTACTCCTGCTCTGGCCTCAATGTTGGGATTACAAACATGTGCAAGCATAGCCAGCAACCTAATTTCTTCATTAAGAAGATAAAGTCTAGCTGGGTGGTGGTGGCACACACCTTTAATCCCAGCACTAGGAGGGCAGAGGCAGGTGAATCTCTGTGAGTTCAAGACCAGCCTGGTCTACGAAGAGAGCTCCAGAACAGGCTCCAAAGCTACACAGAGAAATCCTGTCTCGAAAAACAAAACAAACAAACAACAACAACAAAAAAAAGGTGGGTTTTCAATAGGAGAAAGCAAATCAGTTGATGTCCTCCCTCTAATAGATCTTCGTTTCCATTTCTGTAGCTAACCCCCTGGTGTGCCCCTTCATCATTTCCCAGATTATATTAGAAGCCTTCTATATAGCTACTCTGTCTACTGACTTTCCCTTTCCAGACAGCCCACATTTTCTTGCATGTTGACACTGTTTTTATGGGAAGTTTAGTCCTTTAGGAGGCTTCTCTGGTCACCAGCACAGCAGACAATCACATTCTGCCCTGACTGCTGCCGCACTAATTCTCTTCCTTGCCCAGGCTGTACTAGTAATCAGCACCGCAGTCACTTCTTTTTGTCAGCTCCAATGAACTGTTTAAAAGGAGCAATATCCTTCTCGTTCCTACTCCTCCAGCATTTAATTCAGTTTCTCATACATAATAGAATCCTCTCAATGTTTGTTTGGTTTAGCTCAAGTGAGCAATTAAACAAATGAGTAACCTCTCAACTAAGGGAAGTTAGAAAACAAAAAATGTTCAAATTCACACTATTCAGACAGCGTTCTTGCTCTTCTAAATACTAACAGCAAGGTGGACCATCAACATTTCATTCTTACTAATGGAAAAGTAAAGGGATTCAATAATTTGAAAAATGTAAAACTGTAGTCTTAACGAATTTCATTTTAATAATCTCTAATACAGACACGTCCATTTTCTGGGAATACATTCTGAGCACTACACTAACAGGCTTACTCTAAAGAACACTGTGTTTTTTCAAGCCTGAGTCAGTACCAGAAAGGGATGCACTATAAAAGAAAAAAGGCTATGCTTGCTGTGGAAGTAGCTAAAGGAAGCATTTGGGGTTTACATTTGTTTAAAAAGATACACCTTGGTGTCGAACATAGCAAGTATTTAATGATATCAGTAGCTAATTGGGGACTTTCACAAAATAAGTACAGTAGGTTTCTGAATTAAACTGCAAGTAAGAATTACTAATACCTTTAAGATTTACTAAATGGGTTCCTAGATCAAAATTAATCTATCAACAATTTTTAATAGAGGCAGTCTGTCATTCCACAGCAATAACAACAGTACCCAAGCCAAACTATCCTGGACCTCACCTCAGGAGACTCATAATACAAATCAATCATTGTAAATAAAGCATTCTGATGTTGGGAAGAAAAATGCTAAGGTTCACAGTATACAATGTCATACCTAATCCTAAATACATACAACAAACTGTACTTTTGGCTAAACTTAGTTGGGTTTTTTTGTTTGTCTGATCTTGTAGACAAGTCTCATGTTGCATAGGCTGGTGTTCACTTCACAATCTTCTAAATGCTGATATATTACCAGTGTCTAAATGCTGATATGATATTACCAGTGTCTAAATGCTGATATATTACCAGTGTCTAAATGCTGATATATTACCAGTGTCTAAATGCTGATATGATATTACCAGTGTCTAAATGCTGATATGCTATTACCAGTGTCTAAATGCTGATATGATATTA